ACATCTAACAAAATCACATGGTGGACGTGGACGGGTACTTATACATCCATCCTCACAACAAAAAGACATGCAGTACAGATCTGAGAGTACTCACAGTCACTGACAGATATTTCAAAGCCAATAGCAACTAATAAAAAAAATCATGTATCTAAGACTAAAATATCAATCAGTAATCATCCAACATCCAATGGATTTAGTGTAAAGACGTCATTAACAGTCAGAGAAAAACATGACCTTGTACAATGCCAAACTATAGGTATCGACAGATTGTTGTACCGTGAAAGTACATATGTGTAATATTTAGTATGTTTTTAAATTACTGAGAACAAAATCAATATTTATACCAATAAAAACAAAATTCAAAGATTTTAATTACAGTGTTGAATAGGTAACCTTTTATAATAAGTTTGATAAGTTTACCCGGATCGTATCTAAATTTCCAGGCTCGGTTTACAACATCACCGTAAAATTTAGGATGTGCTATACCGTTTGAAATAAGTTTGCAACAGGTACAGCCAAACTTGCAGACCAAATCTGTGTATCTATGGAAGAATTTAGTAAAGGTTTTAAGTAATATGTGGTAACGAAATCCCTGACTTAATAATTTACTAGTAATACGAAGATTACGCTCATTGAAATCCAAAACGTCACTACAGACACGAGCATAGCCAACGAGTTGGGATATATAAAAACCGCAAGACGGTGTCAAAGGAACATCACCGTCCAAAAGGGAAAATTAACGATAGGGAAAGAAAAATCATCCCTTTTGTCGTAAATTTTGGTGTAGAGTTTCTGGTGTATTATTGAAATATATAAATCTAGGAAAGGACAGTTATTGCTGTTAATATTTGATTTATTTAAAGTAAGTTCCTTTGGGTATATTTCAGCAGTATATTTAGAGAATTCTTGATTATTTAACGAAAAAATATCATCAAGATATCGGTGAGTGTTGTTGAATTTATCAACAAATGGAATTTAGACGGTTCTTTACTGAGTTTGGCCATAAACTGTGATTCATAACAGTAACAAGTCTGCTATTTTAAAGGGGCACAATTGGTGCCCATAGGAATACCTACAACATGTCGATAAACTTTATTGCCGAAACGTACATAAATGTTGTCAAGGAGAAAATTTAGTGCTTTAATCATCTCATCACACCTCCAGTAAGTATATCTAGCATATTTACTTTTCTCAGTAGAGAAAAGTTTTTATATGAGTTGCAGCAAATAAATTTGCAACCAGATTTATCATACGACTATTCAATTAGATAGGAAAACTTTTGTTTAATAAGATTGTGTGGAAGTGTAGTATAAAGAGTGGAAAAGTTTATTTCGTCCCCTATTTAATTTATCCCCACGTTAACAGGAATGGCCACTTCTGACCTGGGGAGATGTTCTGACCCAGCTCAACCCCCTGCTCAATCCCAAGAGAAAAACAATGACAATGAGATTAAGATAATAGAGTGTTTGCTAAGTTACACTGACCCAGAGCACCTGCATGGAGTTGTGAAATCCATGGACAAAGGGCAAAACCACGACAACAAGCAGACAGCATAAATATAGGATAAACGGTGGACACAATACACTAAAAGTACATACAACACATGAACACAAACCTGAACAAAACTGGAGTGAACTCAGGTGCTTTGAAAGGGTGAGCATTTCCTGCTTTTTGCAAGTCACCCGCCGTTTTGTTTTGAAAATTCCTCAAATTTGGATAGAACAATCGAATACCTCAACATTGTGTGATTTTTCAATATATCTGTTAAGTGTTATTAAAGTTTTTACACCGCTGTTATCTGTTAATCAGTTAAAATTGGTGTTAACTGATATCAGCATTTTATATTTGTTGTTAACTGTTTTTGCCAAAATCGAGGTGTTGTTAACATGTTAACGGACCCTGCTATTGCCCCCCTCTTCAATAGACAGTCGGCACTCCTACAGGAACTAACTGTACTCCTGTTCTCGATGACTGTTATTTAATCATTTCATGCATATTGTATACAGGAGGTTCTCAAACGAAAACTTAATAAATGGCTAGTATTATTTTTTTTCTTTACATTCTGCTGTATAGATAATCACATCTCACTGATTTTGATTTATCTCATTTATCCATTTGAACGTGTGTGAAAAAGTACGTCGAGTTTGATGTGCTTCAGACTTTGACTTTATTCTAAAATTTACAGTAAGTATAAAATACGACTGCCAATGAGACAACTATCCCACAGGGTCCAAACAACGCAGATTTAAACAATTATAGGTCACTGTACGGCCTTCAACAATGTGGTTTCTAATGTAAAAGATGGACACATCGCTCTGAAAGTTTTATGAGTCTTTTGAAGACAAAAAATGCGTCTTGCGTACTAAATTATAAGCCTTTTATCTTCGATCAGTTATAATGGAGGCCATCATGATTTGGTTGACAGTTATCGAATATTTTAGTCACAGATGATCACGGATATATTACACTTGTTGTAGACACACAATCCCGTACTGTTTTTGTAATACATGTTTTTATGATATCATCGAATGCGACTTCTTACCGGATTTGAACTTGCCGTTAGCAACACAAAAGGTGTCACTTGTGTTGCTGGAAGTGTTAACCCTTCCAGAGCATCAGAGCTCACCCTGGTTCTTGATGGGGTTTATTTTTCTTGATTTTTAATTGTCTGTCTGTTCTTTGTAAATATTTTTGAGATTTTCACGATTTTGTTATGTCCCCCCAGCTAGTTTCTTCTTTTTTTCAATGAACATTTAAATTTGGGCAGAAAAAATAACTACTTTGTAGATATACAACAAAGTGACAGTGTTATTTTTCTTTTTTTATAAATAGTCAGTTTCCTAAAAGATATGGCTAACTTTTAATTATATTTATTTTAACATCTGTCAGCATCAGGAGTTGGAAAGTCAAAAACCTGTAAAAACTCTTCAACGTCAGGAGATGGGAAGCAGAAAACATGTAAAAACTCTGTCGCAAGATTACAAAGAGGACCGAATAAGATCAATTACAACAATTGCGCCTCATTTATCGCTTGATAGATGATTTTCGCTTGTTAATTGACAATACAGGATTGTTAATTGACAATACAGGACTGCTGACTCCAAAAAGCATACGTTTAAGTTTACTTGTAGAGTTCAATACGAAAACTTATGTTTGCTTATATCCTCCAATTTATCTGATTGCTATCACAAATTAACGCGCAAACATATGGATGTGTGTTTCAATGCAATAACTATCTAATCTTAATTTCATTACAAACATTGTTGCCACGATCATCACTAATGATAGTTTGATGAACAACGAGTTGGTTCGGTATACTATGTGTATAGTGTTTTACTGTCATTTCACCGAGTGTTCCATGAATGCATGTTCATGTGGAGCAGAATTTGCGTATGCTCCGGGAAGAGTTTCAGTTTTTTTTTGTAGGAATGAGTTTATATTCCTAAATTGTAAATTATTTGGAGAGTTGCACCAAACTAGTTTAATCCCTCAATATGTTTTCGCACCTTTCTCAACTCAGAAAATTTGTTCCAGACATTTTGTTAGTGGTTATCACTGTCTCCTTGCTTCTTTTTGCTTTTATTGAGAATTGTGTGCTGGTTTTAATTATTTCGCTTGCATTCATTAAGTTTGACATACAGTGTGGAGTCTTCTCTATCATTGGGGAACACTTTAGGTGTCTATTTTGTTAACTTAAAAATAGGAAGATGTGTTATGATTGTCAATGAGACAACACTCCACCATAGAAAAAATGACGTAGCAGGTTGCTGTCTCATCGAGGTCTTTTTTTTTTATTCTAAAAACACGTTAATTAAAATACAATTAACTGATGATTTGTAAACCAATTAGAAAATGAAGAGCTGATTATCCAAATGTGCTTAATTGGAACACGTAAATTTATATACATCTTATGGTGTTTATATATCTCAACTTGTTCGATTCGCTCGTGTATGTAACAACATATTTGATTTCAACGAAAGAAATCTCTGTATTACTGAAAAATTATTACACCAGGGTTTTCGATATCACATATTAGTCAAAACATTTACTAAATTTTATCATCGGTACAAGGACTTCATTCGTTAATATAAATCAGCATGCAGACATCTTATACGTTCAGGTATTTCACATCCAATATTTTATGGTAATAGTCTTTACAAAGCACAAAAATGTCGGCATTCACCTAAAAAGCTAACCAAACCTTTAAGGTAAACAGCCTTATTCGGAAGGGATATAGTTACGATACTGTTATCAGGTCATTAAGGATTGCATATTTTGGTATTAATATTGATTCACTCATAGGGTCTTTGCATCGGAAATAAACACGTTTGTTCTAAAACTAGTTGTTGGCATGATACGGGTTACGTTCTTCTCATATATTTTATGATGGTATGATACTAAACCCCTAACAGGAGGGATTGTGCTTGATTTTCATATGATGAAGACATAATCTTTCAATCAGTTTAATTGAGGTCTGGAGCTGGCATGTCAGTAACTGCTAGTAGTCCTTTGTTAATTTATGTATCATTGTCATTTTGCTTAGTTTCTTTTGTTACCTATTCTGACATCGGACTCGGACTTCTTTTAAACATGTGTTTTACTGTGCGTATTGCTATGTGTTTCTTTATTCTACATTGGCTAGAGGTATAGGGGATGGTTGAGATCTCACAAACATGTTTAACCCCGCCGCATTTTTGCGCCTATCCCAAGTCAGGAGCATCTGGCCTTTGTTAGTCTTGTATATTTTCTTTTTAAATTTTAGTTCATTTATATGTTTTGGAGTTTAGTGTGACGTCCATATTCTCAGAACTAGTACACATTTTTATTTAGGGGCCAGCTGAGGACCACCTCCGGGTGCGGGATTTTATCGCTGCGTTGAAGACCCATTGGTGGCCTTCGGCTGTTGTCTGCTCTTTGGTCGGGTTGTTGTCCTTTTGACATATTCCCCATTTCCATTCTCAATTTTATCACATTAATCTTATTAATAAGAAGTCTTGTGTTATATTCTCTTCTGAATTTTATTGTTATCTAATTTCTGTGTGCACTGAATTTAGTGTTAGAGTTAGAATTGAAGAAAACATTCAACATATATAATATGTTATTTTGTGTTTTGACTAGAATTAATAAATTATAGATATGACTAATAGTTCAATGAATTACTTTTAGTGTATAATATTTTGATTGAAACGGATATTGCTCTCACTTCTTCGTATCCTGATTCAAAGAATAAATTTCATCATTATCTAAATGCTTGCTAAGTTTTCGAGCTAACATACTGTTTGAAAAAATATTACCAACATTAGGCGGCCATACATTATCGTTCATTATATCCGAAGGTGTGTCAGAGACAAAACTTTCGGAACTCCTCGTAGATTCCGTTTGATGACTTAATGTAAACGAAGTCCAAGTATTCATGTCATACAGCCCATTGTCGGAATATGTGTCTGTATGAGAGTTACTTGTTGTTTCCATACTTACATCCGATGATTCGATCATAAGTGAATCATCCGAAGCTTCAAGGATGTTTTCCAGCTCATCGTCTAGTCTTCTCTCGTAAAGATCACCATCAATCGATATATTTGAAGAGATGATTGAAGAGGAATTATTGGATTTCACCGTAGTACCAGTATTCAGTGTAGATGTATTTAAGTCATGAAAAACGTCTTCAGAGATACTCGATGAAATGCTTCTTGTAGTAACGTTAGGTTTTTTAAGTTCTGCATAACAAACCGCTGTAGGAGTTAAAATATCACTATGAACTCGATCGCTTATGTTACTGTCATTAACACTGATATCTGGGAATCTTAATGGAGACACCGATCGCGACTTCACATTAATTGGTAGGGAAATAGATCTCCCCCATTTCGGTCTATTGTCAGTTTGGTTCATATCTAAATAAGATAAATCAAGCATAGGTGATTCCAAAGAATCTAAAACTTGGTCTTGTTTCATGCAATGTAGTGCATAATCTCCAAGTTTCACTTGGTTCGTTGCCGGTAGGTCTTTGGTGAAACTATTTGGTCTATTGGGTTTCATATTTGTCTCTTTTTCGACAGAACTTATGGTTTTATTATGTTTTGTACACTGATCTGCACAACTCAATTGTTTTGAACACATTTTTGAATTGATTTTTTCTTCGATGTGCTTTATTTTTGGTATCAGATCAACATTAACGTAATGGTGTGTTTCATTGTGGTTAATTTTTGTCAATGACCTTGACTTTTGAATAGCGTGTTGGTCTTTCCACAATCTTTCCCCAAACGTTTTATCCAGTTTAGTGGACACATCATCGATCTGACCTACAAGGTCCTTCATGTCATCTAGAACAACAAGCACTTCGTCTTGAAAGCTTTCTAAATTAGTAACGAGACTTCGGACCATTTTTCTTAGATGTAGTTTTTCTCTGTTGTCGACTTTTCTACGTGGAATAAGATCGTCCATACTTTCTTAAAGCACCATCAATCTGGTACTTGTATACACATCTGTGATACATAACGATTCCAATCAAGTGCTCCCCATTGTGTTTATTCTACAAAAAAGGCAAAGAAAAAAGAAAGAATATAAAGGAAATTTGTTGTCTATAATTTTATGTCATATACACACATGACGATCACTTATATTGCTTGAGGACAGCGAAGTATCAATGGAATAAAGGTTGAGGTGTGACGTGGACATTTCATTCTTCTATAAAATCTACTAGTACAACCTTATTTATGCATACTAACATTTAAAAAGAGGCCGAAGGAACCAAGGTTAATCAACCATACATTGATACACATAGTATGTATGCCTTTCTAAAACAAAATAAAACATTTTACGTCTCTATGCGGTTTAATTTGGACTAAATCAATTATTTTTTCTGATAATTATGTTTTATACAATTGAAATGCATTAGAAATTTTCGTAAAAGAAAATACACACTGCAAGTGCTGGCTTGCTCTTATGTAGAAATATTTGGAGCATTATAGTAACCTATGTCAATTTAGTTTCAGAGAAGATGATGAAAATGTAATATGTGTAGCGCTTCTCAAATGCAAAGACGTAAGGTCGATTTATCTTTGTTTCAAACCAGGGCCATTTTCAAAAGTATTTCAATCTTTACGAAAGGTCATAGTACTATAAATCTATTTTTGTATTTTAAGGTTCTTTATAACAATATGATAGCTTGTTTCTAAATAGATCACCAAATTATAAACAACTGAAAATCACCAACACCGCAATTAAGGCAGAGTTTCGCCAATTTGATTATTTATCCCCAAAAATGTATCAGAAAGACATCGTTAACCAACACAAATATTTAATTGGAATTAAAGCTATATATTGTTTTTTGGATGAAATCAAAAATCATTTTGGTAAACAATGTCATTTGATGCAAAAACATGTATACATTCTCTCTATACGAAGCATCAGATTTAACATCCTAATTCTGGTCGGACATGGCTTCGAATTATACATTCGGCAGAGCCAAACGGATGCCCCACTTTAGCAAGCGTTTTACTGCCGGTCGGATGAAAACCAATGTGATAATATTTCTATTCTCCAGTCAGCCAGGGGTTCCGCATTCCAGACGACTTATTAAACTTCAATTTTACAACAAAAAAAAACCACGCCAAACCCTCCCCCTAACATGGGACAGTGGAGTAACAGTACAATATCAGAACAAACTATAAAAAGCAGTCGAAAAGGGCTGAACTAGTTCAAAGCCAATAACAACAATAAAAAATCATGTATCTAATACTAAAACATAAATCAGTACACATCCAACATCCAATGGATTTAGTGTGAGGACGTCATTAACAGTCAGAGAAAAAACAAATATATGTATCGACAGATTGTAGGGCCGTGAATGTACATATGTTTATAACAACAATATTTAGTTTTGTTTTAGTTTACTGATAACAAAATAAAAAGATATACCGATAAAAACAATATTCAAAGATCTAATTACAGTGTTGAATTGGTAACCTTTTATAATAAGTTTATTTAAAGGATCGATAAGTTTACTCGGATTGTATCTAAATTTCCGGGGTCGCTAAACAACATCACCATAAAAATTAGGATGTGCTATACCGTTTGCATTTAGTTTTCTACAGGTACAGACAAACTTCAAACCCAAATCTTTTTCTAGTTAACTATAATTCATCAACCTTCATTGATGTGACGGAACTAACCATTTTGCATTTTAACTAAGCAATTCAAGGCACGCTGCATAAAAAATGTTCCGTACCACACACAGATACCTCAAGTATGTCAGACAGTATAGTAAGAGTGTTCTAACCAATGCTCTTTTGATATACAAGTAACGTGGTCTGTTAATTTGTCTGAGAACCTATTGATTTCCTGTTACTATAATGTACACCAGATTTTGTCTTGATGACCTACACCAGATTGTGTCTCGAAAATCTGCTTTCTGTGTTTATGTACACCAGATTCTGTCTCGATAATCTACCTTCATTGTTTATGAACACCAGCAGATTCTGTCTCGATGATCTACTTTCACTGTTAACATATACCACATTATGTTTCGATTATCAACTTTCGCTGTTAACGCACAAAAGATTCTGAATCGATGATTTACTTTCACTGTTTATGTACACCAGATTCCGTCTCGGTTATTTACTCTATTTTTTTATGTACACAAGACTCTGTCTCAATGATCTACTTTCACGGTTTATGTACACAAGATTGTGTCTCGATTACCTACGTTCACTGTTAACGTTCACCAGATTCTGTCTCGATAATCTACGATCACTGTTTATGTACACCAGATTATGTCTCGATAATCTGCTTTCTCTGTTTATGTACACCAGATTATGTCTCGATAATCTACTTTCACTGTTAACATATACACCAGATTGTGTTTCGATGATCTACTTTCCCTGTTAACGTACACCAGGTTCTGACTCGACGATCTACTTTCACTGTTTATGTACACCAGATTCTGTCTCGATAATCAACTTTCAATGTTATCATACACCAGACTTTCACTGTTGATGCACACCAGATTCTGACTCGATGATCTACTTTCACAGTTTATGTACACCAGATTCTGTCTCGATAATCAACTTTCAATGTTAACATACACCAGACTTTCACTGTTGATGCACACCAGATTCTGACTCGATGATCTACTTTCACAGTTTATGTACACCAGATTCTGTCTCGATAATCAACTTTCAATGTTAACAAACACCAGACTTTCACTGTTAATGCACACCAGGTTCTGACTAGGTGATCTACTTTCACTGTTTATGTACACCAGATTCTGTCTCGATAATCAACTTTCAATGTTAACATATACTAGACTTTCACTGTTTATGTAAACTATATTCTGTCTCGATGATCTACTTTCACTGTTTATGTACACCAGGTTCTGACTAGATGATCTACTTTCACTGTTTATGTACACCAAATTCTGTCTCGATAATCTACTTTCACTGCTTATGTAAACCAGATTCTGTCTCGATGATCTACTTTGACTGCTTATGTAAACCAGATTCTCTGTCGATAATCTACTTTCACTGTTTTAGGGTTTTCTTACCCTTTGCTATACGTTTTCCTTTGAATCATGAAGGTTATATATTCGTAACTTTTATTGTAAATTTGTCCTTTTTAAAAGAATATCATATGAAATAATCATAATACTTACATATTTTCGTGTAAATTAATTGCATATAATAATCGCTTGCATGTTTAACGCCTAACTTACTGTGTAAGGATATGCAGTACACTCAAGATTCAACCAGCCATATAATTAAGTTTTAATCGGCTGTTAATTACCGGTCCATTTCTATAACAATAAAAATTAACCTTTAATTGGTATACAGAAGTAAACTAATATTTAATATACAATGAATATTTGTTATTTATGAACGACTAGTCCATTTAACTATAAAACGTAACATTGTGATCACAGCAAAGTGCGATTTAAGGTCACTAGTCTGTCATGAAAGACTTAAACTGTGATATATAAGTCCTTGTACAGGTTTCAAATACGGAATTTAACACTCTTTTGTAATGCATATCTCTTTAATATAAAACGGCATTATAATGTGTGTATAATTATCCGAAAAGATTGAGAATGATAAAATTATTATACATGGATATTAATATGACTTTAATCCGATTTTTCGGTACTATCCATTTAGCCGTACAAATAGTTAGGTTCATATCGTTTTTCACATCCAAAATAAACATAAACATTCTCTAGCTTTAAGACCTGTTAACACTTAGAGCAAGTGAAATGTGCAATATTTTCAATTAATGAACGAGCGAAACATTTCATACAATTTCCATCTGAAATAAAAAAAAAAAAAAAAAGCTCCCCACGTATTTAGATCTGATCTTTCCTGATAAAGTGTATTCAAGAAAAAAAATAAATACCTGCGTTTGGTGGTCGTTCAAATATTATTATCAATAACTTCATCAGTGAAACATACTTATGTTATGTGGCGGAGAACTAAAATTTGGCTAACTTTTTTCTTATGATATTAGGGGGTATTAATATCAGCAACGACATACATGAAATCTTTTAAATTAAAAAGAGACCCACCTTACCTTGTTGACACATCTGTTATCGATCCTTTTCGAGCTCATGCCATTCCTACGGTGTTTTTTATTATTATTATTATTAATTTTTTTACCTTGATTTGTATCTACTGGTAGATTTATTTTATTTGAACATCGCTAGACTACTGTTGCCTTTAATTTACAATTTGTTGTTCATATGTATAGATATAAGCCAAACATATTGCCAGAACCGTACCGTTTGCACGTGCATCCGTGATACTGTATATATAAGTAAAGATTTAAATGTGTGTGCTTTTTTATAATGGTTCTCGTATCAATTAAATTTAGGAAAAATTGGGCATTGGTCATTACTCTTTAAATATGAATACTGCAAAATCAAACTACACTTGTGTATGGTATAATTTAATTTCTATCTATTTGGTTATGGCTACCTTAGATTATTGAAAGGAAACCATTCATTTTGTAGCATATGGATGGACAAGGGTAAAACTGCATGCTCAATGTGCACACTCAATGTCTGACTACTAATGGTCCGACGATACACCTGCTTGATGGCCGTTAGTATACAATCAATAACCAATATGTAAAGGCGATGGTAATATTGTTTATTGCCTAAATACATGACATAGCGAGAGAAAAAGTATCATATCATATGACAGGTATATTTCCGGATTGCCGGAAGAAAAGACAATATTTAGTATACCCCCCGGCTGGTTTGAACATCATAGAAATTGTGTGCTGCTTTCCCAACTTTAGTCTGTAGAAGAGTTTGGCATCTTCAAAATTACAAGTTTTACGAAATGAGTAACATAACTATGAACATGATGAAGTTACACAAGATTTCTATTAAAATTGTCCTAGTGGCGGATCCAGGGGGGGGGGGGGGGGGGGGGGGGTCCGGGGGTTGGAACCCCCCCCTTTTTTTGGCCGATCAATGCATTTGAATGGGGACATATGGTTGGAACTCCCCCCCCCCCTTTTTGAAATGGCTGGATCCGCCCTTGTGTCCGTAGAAGGTTGTAGGCTTGAATGAATTGACAAAGAATACACGAAGCTGTGGAATGATTCACGCGGTATGCAGGATAACTGAATCATCTTTGTTAATTAATGGTGCAGTATTACATTGGATGCATTTAATTAACTTATATACACGGAGTATGATTTATATCTTACACATCAAACACATGTTTTAATAGATAATGAATTATACATAATTATTTTACATGTTACAAATGATCTTAAAGAATGTCAAGGTGTCTTTTAAATCTCTTTAAAAACAAGTGCAGAATTTTCTCAATTATATAAATTGTTTGTTCACATCTCGTTGAAAATTCTGAATGATTATTATCAGCTACTTGTAATTCTTATTTATCGTTTATTTTGAGAGAAAAGGAATACATTACACAAAATTAAGTCTTGAAAATAAAATTTATTAAAACTGAATATGCAATCTTCTAAACTTCCCTTTCTCTTTTACACGAATACGGATCTCTTTTAACAAAACAAAAACAAACAGATACTAAGTTATTTGCGACTTATAACATGCTTTATGAGAACTGTGTTACTTTTTCTTTTTACGCGTACAAAAGAAGTATCCTATGTTGGCTTTATAATGTTAGACTTTTTTCACTCAAGAATAGCTATAAGGGCGTTTTTATCTTAGCTGTGACAGTCAATTATGAAATTAACATTACATTTTCACACTAGAAACTACTGAAGAAGGATAGTTTTAGGGTTTTTCAATAATCTTATTGATGTAAATCGCTATGCCATTCAATAAATCATATTCTTCTAACGAAAGTGAAAAAGTAATGCATCAGCTTAAACATAGGTGATTCCGATTCCGTATCGTCTTATATATATATATATATATACATATACATAAAAAATATATTTAGGTTTAAATGTATATATATATAATCCGTTCATCCAATTTCGACTCTTCAAAATTCAAGAGTCAATCCTAAATTGAGGTAATTTATATAGCCTTCCAAATACCGTTTCGATTCCTAACATCACTAAAGAGACATTAATTGTCGAAATCCGGATATGGTGTACCAATTTTTGCACCTCGTGTTTGCGGTATACCATCTTTTCCGCAAGTTTATTGTTTTCTATTTGGTATTGCATTAATAGTTAAGATCCATTTTGTTACATCTGGTGATCCGTTTATTTGGAAATCGCCATGGCAGTCAGCAGGGTTTAAGAACATCCGTTGTTCGACCTTCTAGTCAAATGCGTTTTGTTAAAATATACCTTTTCACTTTTTTGGTCTTTCGGAAAATGTTGTTTGTGCTGTATTTAGACCCCTCTACCAAGAAATTTGTTTTGCATGCACACGTATAAAAATTGAGGTTTTTATCCAACGCAATCATAGGTTTGTACGTTGTTTTCAATTAAGATTTGGAGAGAGAGAGAGAGAGACGCCACATATTTTTTAAATAACAAACTTAAGGTATGCTACCTTTTAACACCTTCAGTATAAACCTGTGCTGTATTAAAGCAGTGTAACGTGAAAAGAAATTATCACAACGATAGTATATATGTCGATATAAGAATCATAAAAACGTATGGTTACCTTAGGAACTGTCGCACTTTCCTCTGTCAGTGAGTCATCTTGTTTTATTATAAACTGGATCTCTGAGGAATAAAACTTATTAGAATCAATAATGAAATGATTTGTTCCACCTGAGAAATGTATATATATGTAATGTTATTTCAGCATCATTTATTCCTCTTTTCTTTAGAATTATTGGATTTCATAAATATAAGACAATTGATATTTCATTTATATGCTGAAACGTCACGAACAATATGTTTGATGCCTTGGTGACTTGAGGTTCTTCGATGCAATAATGTGACAACAATATTTAACCACATCTCCTTATTTTTATAAAAATATTTAACAATCATTTTACATTTTTCCCATACCAGTAGTTCGGTTCATATCTTTATTCAGAGGAAAGAAACATGTATTAACATACTAGAACATGGACATTATTTTCAACTTTTAATCGAGCGAAAGCCTATCATTTAGTTATTTGAATAATAAAGGGTAGGGAGTCGGCGTTCTTGAAACTAAAATCTTTTGAAAGACAATAATATATCAAAATACATCACAGGAACAGTTTTTTTTATCGCTGTTCTTCATCTTGTTAATATTGTTTGTTGTTTTTCCTTCAGAAGAATCTGGCGATGCATTTCTATCTATTGAATATTATCTAATGATAAAAGACACTCACACAAGTTTTTAAATGGCACGTCTATTGAAGAAGGAAAATAAATCTCCATACGTATTTCTATGACACAAATTAAGACATATGTTCTTGAGTTTACAATTTTCCATCGATTTTGTCTCTGGAATCAGAAACACGATGCCTTAATTATAGACATACACTTTAGCTTATGTATGTTTGAGATTCTTTTGGCTATAAAATGTTTCATTTCCTAAGGCTTTCTTTCATTGATTTTTCTTCGGTCGATTTGCTATGTACAGCGTTTGATCATATAATGCATGTAGGATGATATCCCATTTTGATACGTACACGTCAGCAAAAACATTCATAAGTAGATATTTCAGACATATTCTGTTTTACACTCAGAACGATACATGTATTTGAAATTACGCCTTTAATGTAAAACACTAAAGTATAAGCATGTGTGACCAGTCCCCCAAATGGAATAAAATAAGACATGTATTTACTGTGCGAAAAAAAATGATTTAAAGAAACATATTACAAAGTGTAAATGATTACATGAAAACAGCAACTTTTCATTAACACCTTTTCTGGATACCTGATTGTGCCCCGGAATGCGGTTGATCCCTCAAAAGATGATGGTTTTCAGGTGCAATTAATTCAGTTTCTGGAAAAGTCACTAACTAAGTTGCTACTATAGTACTAAAGAAAAACAATTTTTATTAAGCGAAGTAGATTTATATCCTATTTTGGGTTATTATAATCCCATTTTGGGAGACTGGTCCCATTCTGATTAATACGTTATTATAACCCCATTTGGGAGACTGGTCCCATTCTGATTAATACGTTATTATAACCCCATTTGGGAGATTGGTCCCATTCTGATTAATACGTTATTATAACCCCATTTGGGAGATTTGTCCTATTCTGATTAATACGTTATTATAACCCCATTTGGGAGACTGGTCCCATTCTGATTAATACGTTATTATAACCCCATTTGGGAGACTGGTCCCATTCGGATTAATACGTTATTATAACCCCATTTGGGAGACTGGTCCCATTCTGATTAATACGTTATTATAACCCCATTTGGGAGACTGGTCCCATTCTGATTAATACGTTATTATAACCCCATTTGGGAGACTGGTCCCATTCTGATTAATACGTTATTTTAACCCCATTTGGGAGACTGGTCCCATTCTGATTAATACGTTATTATAACCCCATTTGGGAGACTGGTCCCATTCTGATTAATACGTTATTATAACCCCATTTGGGAGACTGGTCCCATTCTGATTAATACGTTATTATAACCCCATTTGGGAGATTTGTCCCATTCTGATTAATACGTTATTATAACCCCATTTGGGAGATTGGTCCCATCCTGATTAGTACTGTCGTTTGGTGTGTTTGTTTTGTTTTTTTTCGTTTTCTTTTGCAGTATTCTCACTATTTGAATAATACTGTTTGGCAATCGTCATACTGTTCTATTAATTCCCTTTTTCCTCTTTAATACTAAACATGAGCTTTAATCTAAAGAAAACAGTTGATATATGAAGCTAATAAAATTCATCAAGATTCATCAAGTTGATCGTCTCTCTATTCTCATAATAAACTGAATGCAAATTCTATCATGGAGAACATAGGTCTGCTTGTTAGGAAGACAATGTATTAATTAATTGAAAAGTAGAAGATAGTAACGATCGATAAAAATAAATGTATAGCCTTGGTATTTTCTTTGATTCTTTGTTATCCTGTGGTTAGAATCAATTTAATGCAGTCGATATGTATCAAAACCGCAATGACGGAACCTATTCGTTGTCACTGTATGATGCATTGATCATTGTAATACACTCTGCACTAACACAATCTCCCCGGAGAACATTGTCAACTTATGTCTTTCAGGTTTGTCAAGCAAGGAAATTGTATTCGTATACTTCTACGATATCGCCTTTTAATATAAAAAAAAAACTACCGAGTTTATGTAACTTCTGTTTCATGAAATCACAACAATTTCATATGAAATTAAAACAAAATGATAGAATTGTACCTACCTTTTCCCCTAAGAATACATATAATAAATCTAGTTTATAAAATTGAATGTTTAATGCGATTATCCAGTGTGTGCAAGGAATAGCCCGAGGTTGCATTGCTTTCTTTATCCTATTCCGTGTGACTAACTTAATTCTATTAACGTACAGTAATAATTAATCGCATACAAGAACTTTTCAAATTTAAGATTTTATTTTATTATTGACAGTTTTTACAGTTGTTAAAATGTTATGTGTTATTTACATGAATTTTAGACAAGATAAAGTTTCAGGTGTAGACAAATATTTTCACTAATTACAGGTGTGGATGATTTTTACATGTTTCATTCTAACCACGTATTGATGACATTGCGGATTCATGTTTTTATGAAATCTGTATGATAATAATGTGTAACATTTCCCCCCTCACCGAGTTGTGTAATTAGGATTTTAATTTCATGGTTAGTTTTTAATTTTTGAATTACTAGAAAATAGTAAAGATGTCCTTACCTGACTGAAGCTTTCCAATAGACAACTCGGGAGATGATTTCATCGATTTGTGGTTTGTCTGTAATAGTAAGAAAATTACTTATAACACATGCGTAATCATTTCTGCATTTATATAAAAATATGCAACACTAGAAGTAAATATTTCAACCTGCCTTTTAATGACAATCCCTAACGAGTAAAAATATGTAGACAACACATGACACCACAGATACATAGTTCTATTGTTTTAACCATAATAGCTCTATATTTGACGAGGCCAGACGGGTAAATACTGACTATAGTTAGTCTGTAATTTGATTAATCTTACTTTTTCGTGTACTTTTAAAAGATAATTGTGTGGTCTATTTAAATAGTATTTTGATTGAGGCCTCAATTTTCTATATGTCTTATATCATGTATAATGTTACCAAGATATGCCCTTCAAAGTTTGCACTTCGAGCATATTTTGTTTTGTATGGCATGTTTTTATTTTTTAGCTGACATGCAATTTTAGGGGCATTTTTTCTTATTTAAATGTCACTTTACTTTATTTTGGGACAAATACGACGTCGATATAACACACACATATATATATATATATATGTATATATAAACAAGTCTAAATTGAAAACAACGTTCAAACCTATGATTGCGTTGGATAAAAACCGCAATTTTTATACGTGTGCATGTAAAACAAATTTCTTGGTAGAGGGGTCTAAATACAGCACAAACCACATTTTCGAAAAGACCAAAAAAGTGAAAAGTATATTTTAACAAATCGCATTTAACTAACAGGTTGAACAACTGATGTTCTTAAACCCTGCTGACTGTCATATATATATATATATATATATAGTTAAGGGTTATCGAGATTTTGAGGGGGGTAGATCCAGGATTTCAAGGAACAAAGTTACATCTTAGCTATTGGGAGTAAAGCTCAAATATAAATGAATAAAAGGAATATGTGGGGTATATACCAATGAGACAGAAAACTCTACTACACAACTTAAACAACCATAATACATCTACATATCAAAATATAGTCTTCAACAAAAAAGAGGTGTATAAAAAGTTGTCAATATATAAAAACTATCTAAGATCTGCCATGAACAATAGATTCCACAATTAACATAACATATCTAATATATAGACAACTGATGAAAAAGTTCCTGACTAGGGGCAGGCGCATAAATAAACGTGGTTAAACTCATTTTTATACCTCAACCATACCCTTTAATCCAAATCAGTGCGTGGACTAACAAAAGATGAATAAAAATAATAAAAATCAGTACAAGTAAAACACGAAAATCTAAAATGATTGTATGATAGATAAAGAAAACGTAATAACGAGCAATAGTATATATATATACCGTATCAAAGAATGCTCGGAGTTACCGAAAGAGACTCAAAATATTTAACCTTCATTCTAATATCAGTTGCTGTACTTCATAGTAGAATTTATACAGGAACGCCATAATCGGTACAGGAAGACACGCTCTGAACTTCAATGTAGAAAAAAGAAAAGAAATAGTTAGTCTTGCTTCAAACTATATATTAGCGAATTTATGTTCGTCTCCCAAAATACCAAAGCCAGTGATTTAACAACAAACAACCATATAGATTTAACCTTTATGAATAAGTATATTAAGAAAGCAAATATTTGAGGAAAAGTTCCTAAACTTGGTAGCCTTATAAATGATAATATTGTAAAAGAAGGGTGCAACCGTTGTCTTAATTAAATTCCTGTATATGGAATCATGCTTCCACCGTAAATGAACATTATTCTACGGTGAAATTGTTGTAGAAAACAGATTTTTTTTTACAATTTTGGTCAGTTTTGGTCAGTTTTGCAGATGGATCGGTGCATTTATTGTATTAAAATCTGCTCCTGGTATTATTCATTTTGCAGCATAATTTGTCGTCGTCCATCTTTAGAGATTCAAAAATCGGCTACCTCTTAGTTTCTCTTTTTTTTAAATTGAGAACGGGGACTGTTCCAATGGTTAATAATCCTTTAGTTTAGACTAGAGGTGAGATAAAAAATCAAACAGATCATCGGGGAATGTTCGATCGTTTCAAACTCGAGAGTCATCAGATGAGTTTTATTTTTAGATTTGTTGATGACCAGGATTATTACCTTTCAGATGTGTTGATTATGAATATTATTTCTTTTTGAGATATATTAATGATGAATATTATTTCCTTATGAAATGTATATTAATGATGACTTTTTTCCTTTGAGATGTTTTGAAGAGGATTAAGGTTCGTGTGGACCCTTTGGCTAAAATGGCTGCATTTTCACCTCAAAATTTACTATAAGTACAGACAAACCTGTGTATCTGGAAAAGTTTTAAGGCATAGCATGCCCTAGATAAATAAAATTCAAATATATTTTATGTTTTAGAAAATGAAAAACTTTAAAGGATTTTGCAGTGCCCTTTTTTTCATTCCTCCAGCAAGTGCCAAAATAAACTAAGTTGAGAAAGAGGTTTGAGAACTTCCCCACAGGTAATAATTAAAGTAAACTGTATTGATTGACATGGACAATAGATCGACAAAAGATACCTAACAATAATTGGTGATTTAAACTGTGTACCTGAGTGGACCATATCAAGTGAAACTCAACAGTTTGTTAATTTTATCATCTTCTGCAGGGACGAAAAAAACTGCACTGCAAAATCCAGTTGTTTTAAATTTTCTAAAAAATACAATGCATATGAATTTTATTTATCTAGGGCATGCTATGCCTTAAAACTTTTCCAGATGCACAGGTTTGTCTGTACTGAGAGTAAATTTTGAGGTGAAAACGCAGCCATTTTAGCCGTAGGGTCCACATGAACCTTAATATTTCTGTCTGAGATGTGTGACTAATATTTTGAGATGTATTGATGATGACGATCATTTCCTTTTGAGATGTATTACTGATGAGTATTTTATGTCAATAAATACGTTACCATCATAAATTCTGAGTACATCCATCTGCGCAAGTCTGACAGGCGGAAAACCCCAAATAAAAATATCAAATGAGAAGAGCGATGACCATGCAGTGCCCATTCAACCATGCCTTTATATCATCCTTTGATTTCCGCCTGCGCATCGAGACACACGTGTTACAGAGAAGACTTTTAAGTTTTTGTTTTTTATAAAGAATATTGTAGGTATCCCCATACCATTGTTTATTAATTATTATTTCATATTGTTGTTATAATATTGTATTTTATAAGTATTTAACTTCATAATTATTTAATTATGGAGTTTAATGCTTCCCAGTGGCGGATCCAGAGGGGGGCGTAGAGGGCGTACGCCCCTCCCCCCTTTGCTTGCACTTTTTTTTTGTTAAATGATTAATCAGACTAGACTTCGTGAACTTTGCCAAGTCCCGTGGATTTAATTTTTATGCGACAATTACACTCTCATGAAAAAAAAAAGTTCCACACCAATATTATTTACCTACGAAAACATGTTTAAACCCACACGCCCCAGCCTATTAATAACATAGCTGAATAATGATCTCCATGCAGGCAGTAAGCTCTAGATAGATTTAAAGTCTAAGGTACGGACCATTTGATTTGAGGGGGCAGTCTGAGATATTTGAGAAAAAAAAATTCTGACCCTGAGTTTTGCCTTAAACAAAAATTCTAGCCGTATCTGGATTGAACACACTAATCTTGTCCACTTTTTTGCTAATAGAAACAAAAATTTCCTACAGAATTATTTAGCATTAAATGAACATGATGAATAAAAACCGGGCGTAATTTTTTTGGGGCCGGGGGTTTGCATGTAAATCCCATATCTGACCGGAATGTCTGTTTCGCCGAACTGATATATTGAATACTTTTTTCAAGGCCCGACTGCAACCTGCCTGCTGGATGTGGCCTTTATGTTTCCATTTGTCGACCGTCATTCATAAATTCGTTGTCATTTCAGACTCAGTCGTAGCCTTTGGTTGATTTGGAACCCCTCACTTCCCTTGTTGGGTGAAACATTTCAAACAAACATTTGGATAAAAATTGCTTGTTTGTCTTTCTTAACTCGTGTCGGTCGTATTGTAAATTCATTGAATAGCCCGGCGTATATCTTGTTTACAACAAGAAATCTGTGAGGATATGCTAACTAAACATACAACAAACGAGAATTTTCCATGTCCATTTTTTACTGACAAGTCCCACATCAAATATATTAGTACATAGCTTTGGATCCATCCAATCATTTTATAATAGACAATTAATGGGGAGAATACGGCATCAAAAATGTCCAACCCTTGCAACTATAAAATATACATGCCCCACGTCAGGAACCGTTAAAAAAGTGCATTTTACACTTATTTTATGTTTTTTAGCCAAAAAAGGTCCAAAATTTTTTTGGCCTCGCTCCGCTCGGCGAACTTTAAATACTTCGCCCCCCTGTCTAAAATCCTGGATCCGCCCCTGCTTCCAGTCCTTTTGAGGCCATTACAGGTAATGATGTTTTTTTAGACGGTTCGTTACCCTTTCCTGTTACCGCAACAACGGTAAGGCAGGGGACCCCTCCTAATAGTAGTCAACTAACCGACGCTTTTACTTCGGTGACTACTAAGACCGGTCAGCAGATCCTCAATGCAGGTTCTGTCGGTTATGATGGATGTGTCCCTACCATTACCACTGTTACGCACACACTTTCTAGGCCAGTTGACACCACTGGGTCTATTTCATCCTACCCTGGTATTTCTATGGGTCTAAACTTACCTGGGTCTAGACCACCAGCGTCAAACTTTGGCTTCACTTTATCTGCTTTGGCTAGTAACGCCATGTCTTGGTCTAGACCTCCTGGGTCTCAGGTTTATCCTTATTCAGGCTTTCTTGGTCAGGGGTTTCATGGTCAAGGGTTTCCTGGTCAAGGGTTTCCAAATCAGGTTTTTCCTAGTCATGTTCCTGGTCAGCCTTTCCAAGGTTTCTGGCCTTATTGTGGACCAGTTACCACACCAGTTATTGTTCCTTAGGGTGCTACATCTAATCTGTCAGTTCCTGCTCCTCCTTTAGCAGTGTAATCAAGTAGTTGTAGTAGTGTATCTGTACCTGCTGCTCTGCCTACCGCTTCTGTTAGGCATCAGTTTAATCAGGTTACTGACTCTGGTCCCTCTTTTGATGGGTTCATGAGTATTCTGGACGACTTTCG